ATTGCGATAGGCGGAGGGAGGGGGTGGTATGTGCGGGTTTCGCGAGCAGGGATTCGAGGCAAGGGGACGGGTCGGGTGAATACACTGAATAGCTACGTAATGTCGATCCTTTGGCAATTGCCTAGGCCAATTAAGAGAGAGGGAAAAGGGTGATAGATTGAAAGGAGGGAAACAAGAAAAAAGCACCAACGAGAAAGGAAATAAAAGCAAGAAGAAAGTATCAGCAAGAAAGAAAGTAAAAGAATGGAAAAAGTATGAGCAATAAAGAAAATAAAAGCAAGAAAAGCAAGCGAAAATCCGCCATAAATAGGGGGCATCCCCACTCATAAAGCTGATGAGTAGGCAAAGAAAGCTGAAAGCCAATAAAGTGAAACCGACGCTTAGGTAAAGCAACGAGCTCTCAACTTCACCTAAGCATCAGCGGTTTGATCCCTCAGCTTTACCTAAGCATCAGCAATTAGATCCCTGAGCTTTACCTAAACATCAACTTCATAAACACGAAAGCTTTACCTAATCATCAGCTTCATAAATGGGAAAGTCCTTTGCTGATAACGGGTTTTTCTTTACTTATGAAGCTGATGCTTTCGCAAACCTTTCGTATGAAGCTGATGCTTAGGTAAAGCTGAGGGATCAAATTGCTGATGCTTAGGTAAAGCTGAGAGCACTCACTTTGCCTTATTCGATTCAGCTTTCTTCCCCTATTTAAGCATCAGCTTTGCCTTATTCGCTTCAGCTTTCCTCCCCTAAGCATCAGCTTTATATGTAAGAGTGTCCCCTATTGGTGGCGGGTTTTTCGCTCGCTTTCCTTGATTTTATTTTCCTTCTTGCTTGTGCTTTTTTCTTTCTTTCACTTTCTTCCTTGCTAGTACTTTTTTCTTGCTTTTATTTTTTTTCTTGCTTGTACTTTTTTCTTGGTTTGCTCCTTTCAAGCCATCATCCCCTGCCCTTCTCTTACATGGCCCTAGGCAAGAGCCAAAGAATCTACGTCGCGTAGCCATTCAGTGTACCCAGCCA